ATCTTGTGAAATATTAATTATTAAAATTTTGAACAAAGTAACATGTGATGCATGAAAAAATAATTAACTAATTTTATGACTAAACATTATGTAAGTTTGTCATCATAATTACATGTCTTCAATGGAAGTATTTCATAAATTGTATCGAAAAAGAATTACCAATATAATAATAAATATTATCACATTATCAAATTAAAAATATCTCAGTTTCATCCAATAATAATTTATTCAAATAACTTAAAGATGATAAAATGATATTGACATCATCCATCATACTTTTAACGAAACTCATTGTTGCGGCCTGCAAAACATGTTAAATAAAAAGAGTTTGCATAGTACTGCGTCGAACTCCTCTTCGATAATATTTGTCCCTTTTTAAAGAATAAATAATCAAATTAAGTTCGTGATAAGTTTTACATCTTCTTTTTTGCCTCTTCAAATGTAGCTGTTATGGCTTGAAATTCCACCATTATTTTTTAGAGAGAGAGAGAGAGAGAGAGAGAGAGAGAGAGAGAGAGAGTGAGATTAAAATATTACCTTCACGATGGCACATTTTGATTTGGGTATATATAGTTTTGAAAAATTGTCATCTCCAAAGTTTTTTGTATAATCGAATTGGAAAGTAATTATAATATACGCAAAATCCGGTAAATGATTATGATATACACTTTGTCACTTAAAATTCAAATTCGAATTTTATAATTAATTTTTATTATTATTTCTATATCTGGTTAAGTGACTCTAATTTTGTTAGGGAAAATTTGGCTGCAGGGCAGTAGAACATGTTAAATTAATAAAAGGGGTATGATCTTAAAATATTTTTTATGAATGGCGGTAACTTATTTATCAAAAATCACAAAATAAAAAATATTTTGAATTGATAGCATTAGCCTTATAATTTTTATTTTTATTTTAAAAAATGAAACCCTAAATCCTGTAGAGCTGTTTTGAACAAATTATCTGGCACATACAACGCTCCGGCAATTGGATCGGACTAAGGGGTGGGGAAAGAGACATATTTTGAACAAATATGTGGATTTTGTTTTTTTTGTTCTTTTGGTAAGATAACTATTTTGAGCGCTTTACCGGAATAGGTAAGGATTCAATTGATCTAAACAATGATTCAACTATCTTGTCAGAAACCATTGTTGATTGATGATTCAGCCTTACTCCAAATTGCCCCCTATTGAAAACAAAGCTAGAACCATTAAAGGGCTTCATATTTATTTCATGTACGTAGCCGATAATCACCATCAAGTGCCCAATAGTCTGGATTGTTTATTGATCAGGCAGATATTGTTTCACAAATTTTTTGGGTTGGGATTAGTTCTTTCAGATATTCTTATTTAATGCTATCTAATTTAAAAATAATGTATGTTAGTTGCCGGAACAACAGGTTTATTTCATTTATTGTGCCAAGTTGAATTAGGTTAAATCGATTTCTTCCTCCATAAGTAGCCGCCATGTTCTTCTGCTTCACGAACTGCTCCCTGGGCTCTGTTTTGTTGCACTAAGAGATAATTTTCATTTTATGTATTTTATAAAAAATTAATAAAAAAATAAGGGTAATTTTGTCGCTATAAAACTATATGTATTTTATGATTTTTGATAAGTAAGTTACTTCCTTTTTATTAATTTAACATGTTCTATTGCCCTCTTGCCAAATTTTTCCCATTTTGTTATTAAATGATGTTTAAATTTGAAGATATAGTTTAAATACTAATTGCACAATTTTTATATACCAAAAATATTAGGATGTCATAATTAAAATAAAAATTGTGTAAAATATTAACACATTTAATGCTCATTATGATAATAAATTATTTCAAATTTTAAAACCATTATGAGCCGAGATTTTGAATGAATGTGATAATGGTATTTTAGGAAAATTTGTCCTTTTTAATTTTTTTAATTTTTTTTTGTAATAGGAGGACTTATTCATAATTTCACTTAGTATTTCTTGGGACAATATTTGAGAAATGATACATAGAATTTGATCATATTTGGCATCTTTAGAAATCTATTTTGTTTTCTGTCTTTGGTTTCTCTCTTAGTATAATACTATAGATTGATTATATTCAACTTTCTGATAAAAAAAATCAGCATTCAATTTGATTAATGTAAAATTTTCAACTTTCCACATTAACCAAAATTCTTACCCTAGTATTGATCAAATCAGCACTAATTAAAAAAAGTCATCATTAACTATAATGAATACATGTCATAATTCTGAGTTGACCAGATTAAAAAAAAAACTTTATTAATTTTGATTAGTGAAAAATTTCATATCGGTATTGATTTTGCTTTTTGAATTAGTATGACATTAATGTTGATTGATTGATCAATTATTATTTTTTTAATTGTTTGATTTTTCTTAACCAAATTATATTCAAAATTGCTGGGGAATGGATTTTATTGCATTAATTGATTAGGATTAAGATTGAACGCTGATTTATGACCATACATTAACTCTTCCATCTTTCCATTTGCAACTAATGATTTAAATGAGTGTGATAAAATTATTTACATAAAATCTCAAGGACTTTTAGTGTAATTGCATAAACTTTTATTTCTGTCATTTATTTAAAAAATGACACATAGGATTTTATCCTATGTGGCATCCTTAGAATTTTTATTTTTTTTTGTTTATCTCTTAATATAATACTATAGATATCGATAACTAGAACTTCACGTTAACCTTGTTTTGCAGAATGTGTTATTCTCGTGTATTAAACTTCTGCATTTTTTTATACATCCAAAACAACAATTTCCTTACATTCATAATATATATCTTTTAATCCAATAGAGAAGTAACCTTACAAATGATAAAATGTGGCTAATGCACCTTTTTTTGGGGGGGGGGGGGATTATTTCATTATTACAACATTTAACATACATTGATGCAAATTTAGTAATTTATTGACATAAAAAGGTACATAGCGTTTTTTTTTTTTTAAAAAAAAAAGAAAAAAAAGGTAGATAGAAAAATCTACTGGACAGAAAAAAGTTGTCACATGTTAAAAGGATGGGTTTTATTTTTAGAAGCTTGATATTTTCATAATGTAATGCTTATCACCGTATCAATTGTATTTCTTCCAATTTTACTTACTGGAATTTTGATATCATCTAATGTTCTTGATTAACCAGAGAAATACTGATATTTTTCTCCTTTTTAGTTTTCTTGGCTATTAATTAAGTAGTCCTATAAATAACTGAAAACAGGGAAAATTTTTAAGAACATTGAGGGTGGGGAAAATCTTTGTAACTAGACGAAAATTAAAATTACAATCAGTAATATTGACACTAAAAAAATTTTAAACTAAGAAATACATATTGGTTTGACATGGATGAAAATTTAATTTTTGTTGATGTCCATTAATGGGAGTAAATCTTACATAGTATTATTGCTCCAAAAAGAATAGTACGTATCAAGATTTAAGATTTATAGTATTTTCATTATAAATTTCAAAATTTAATGTATACTATTTTCTTATAATAAAATAAGTATTAGGAAGATATATTCTGACTTGTCTCGTGTTAATTTTTAGGGAGGGTTATCAGCATACATTGTGCCAAAAAGTATAAAGGTTTTAGTTGTCTATTATAAAGTGTAGACAAAAAGGTTTTTGTCTGTGACATTATTATCAAGAGTTGAACAATTGTTCATAAAGTTTTGAACGTTATTAGACATATTATACGTAGTATAATCTACTTTGTTCTTATTTATGATAAAAACATGCGTTATATAATTTGATAGTGTAGCGCAAGCATACGTTACACTTGAACATGAATTTTCAATTTCTTTATGGTGTTAGAGTAAGAAATATGAGTTCGTGAAATGAAAAATAAAAAAGTATGAGAAATAATAAAACTTGATACACACTTAATTCTTAGGATGGTCTCAAATAAAATACAGTAACTATACATTATTTTAACAAACAAAAGAATAATGACTTATTGTATTTTATTTTTCTCTGTTTAGTAGGGTTTAAGATAATCATTCCCAATAATACAAGACCGAGATTGAAAATTTTCCATTTTTTTTAAAAAAAAATCACGAGACAGATATTATTATATTATTCTGAAAAAATCATGAGAAGAAGAAAAGAAAGAGAGCCTAAAATCACTCACGGGTAATACGGAAGCGGAAATTGTATAACATTTGGAAATTCAAAATAATTGAACTCGGTTAAATATGAAACAAAAGAAAAGAAGGAGACTATAAAGGAAATGGAAATAATCCTTTTGGTATAAATGAGAGGATATTTTTAAATTTGAATAATTAATTTTAAGCAAAGGCATGACAATTTTTGAAATTATTGAAACAGTAAAAAAAATAAATGAAAATAAAAAAGATATACCCCGGGAGAGAGAAAGGGACTGGACGGAAATCTCACCATTCAATTTAATTCCTTAAAAAGAAGATTATGGTTCAAAAAAGAAACAACTTAGGCAGCAAGTAGCACAGCTCAGTTGTCAGTGGCACAAGGCGTAATTATAGCAATAACTCGTGACTAAAATTGTCTACCAATCAGTCAGTTCTGTTCCCACCTAAAAACTTGCCTCTTCCATCCTACGTTGCCGAATCGCAGCATTACCGATCCACGTACCCCGTCAACGCGTGCGTTACACATGGGCATCAGAAACCGTAGAGCAATAATGTAGGGTACGTTACGATGGTCCTGTGCACCGTACAAATCGGTTAGAGAGTGGGATAAGTGGCGGCTGCCAGCTAAGGTACTTATATCACTCCAAAACTAACCATATTTAATTTATGGTATGAATGATAAACATGACCATGCGATGATGATGTTTTTTTTCACCCCCATGACAGCTCAGCACGCACACACACAGTAACCGAATTTAATTCAATCACCAAAAAATAAGAAAAAAGGTATCCTACCTCACGTACAACACCTAAATACACACACTATAAAAAAAAAGAGTTACTATTATTATTTATAGGTGGTATTCACCATTTAGCATTCCTTTCTCTTCTACTTCACAATTTTTTTATTTATAATTATTATATATAGGTTACGCCTTCTTCCCTCTCTGTACTTTAATGCACAATTTTGACCGCTTGGGAAACGGTGAAGTATAAAGAAAAAGTGGTGTGAATTGCTGTTTAAAAAGGAGGTGAGAAGAAAAAAAGACATACAATCAGACAAGGTACGACCCATCTCTCCATTCCTCATACAGTTTCTTTTTAGTACTGGTGTGTGTGTAATAACAGAGTATTTTTTATGATTTCTTTTCTCCTGCAAATTGGTCCAGTTTTAATGTATATTTATTGGGGGTCTGTAATATTGCAATTTACTATGTTTAGATTTTCGATGGTACAACGGACGGTTTTTTTTTTTTAAGAAAAGAGGCAAACTGATGCAAATGTTTTTGCATATAATGTTTATTGAGATTTGCGTCTGGTCAAGTCAATTGTTGTTGTTTCCACTCACACACACAAGAGGCACACACCAACTACCCCCCACCTTCTCTCTCTTCTTCCCTCCCCACTATAACTCTGTTGTTGTGGCGAGTCAAGTAGTAGAAGGGGTCTAAATCACTGTTACTGGAATTTCGATAAAAACACTGAACTGATCTTTGTCATATTTGGAGGGCAGAGAAAATAAGAAAAAAGAAAAGGGGCAAAAAAAGGAGTAATCTTGGCCATAGATTCCTCATCTATACTGTTAAACACTACTGGGGAAGAGGGGGGTTTTAGCCCTTTTCGGGATAGTATTATTTTTTATCTATATATAGGGGTTTCGTTCTGATCCGATTTTCTCTCTTTTTGGTTGGGATTTTTTGTTCTCTCATCTTTGGTGTAGAGCAAAGAAGGAAAAGAGGGATTACAGAGGATTTTGGAGGGGAGTGGCGGCTGAGATTTATGTCTGGAGGATTTCAATTGGCTTCTGAGAATACTGGGGCTTTGGTCAAGCTCTGCTGGATTTCTTTCTTCTCTGCCGTTTCCCTGCTCTGTCTCTGCAATCGAAAATCCCTCTGCTCTGCAAAAAAGCAGGGCTTTTCCCTTCGTTTCCCAACTGCTTCGATGCGTTTGAGGCCCAAAAGGTACACTTTCTTCTGTCTCTTAAACCCTAGAGGTTTTACATGCGCTTTGTTCAGATGTGTTTTTGCTCTTAAGATGATTGTTTGTATCGGTTTTGGTTGTTTTAAGGGCTGATCTGTCATGGGTTTGTGTTAATTTTGTTGTTTTGTTGCACCTTGTTGATTGATTTCTGGGTTCCGTTCTTCTGTCCTTGCAGGACTTGTTCTGGAGTAGAGTGTTTTGGAGGATTTCACATAAAGCGGTTCTTATACCTGTTCTTGTTCTTCAGAGGGCCTCATACCTGACACCGCTTTTATTTTTTGTTTCTTTTTAGTGCCTTTAATAGGTTCCCATTCGAGGATCTCTGATTTTTGGTTCAATTTTGTTGCGAAAGATCCAATTTTTAGAGGTTTTTGGGATCTTATTTAAGGTTTTAGAACAGGGTAGTTGAAAAAAACTAGGTATAATGCCAGAGTCTCAGAGGCAGTTGACGGTGAACCAAGATTTTCTGAAGAAAAGGCCCAAAACGGAGGCAGCCAGACCCATGAGAAAGATTCGGGTTTTCTGCAATGACCCCGATGCTACTGATGATTCATCAGATGAGGAGGAGATGAGTGCAAAGAAGCCGAAGAGGTTTGTTAGAGAGATATTTGTACCAGTTCTGGACTTGAAAAATGGACCTTTGGCAGTGGAAGTTGAATCTTCATGCCAAGAGAGCAATAGTGAGGAGAAAACCCCCAGTCCCATGTCTAAGAAGAAGAAGGGCTTAACTACACCTCTAAGTCAGTCTCAGGCAAAACCTTCTTCCCACAAATTCAGAGGAGTTCGACAAAGGAAATGGGGCAAATGGGCTGCTGAGATTCGTGACCCTTTCAAGGGGAAGAGGATTTGGTTGGGCACTTACAATTCCCCTGAGGAAGCCTCAAAAGCCTACGAGGACAAGCGATTGGAATTTGAGGCTATGGGTTATCATTATCCATCTGAGAAGTGTTCTAATGTCATCAATGCTGAGAATCATTCTAGCTCAATGGTGGTTTCTCAGCCTCCCAAACAGAATGAAACCCCTGCTTGTGTCTCTGAGGACTCTGCTGAAAGCTTGGTATCACATACATCTCCCTCATCAGTGCTTGAATTGGATTGTTTGACCTCATCAGCCACTCCTGTTGCTGCATCAACCAGTGTTAGTAAAGATGATGATACGGTGAAAGATGATGTTGCCTCTGGTAGTGATGCTGTTCCTCTGGGAAGCATTCTTGGGGATGAGAAGGTGCCTGATCTAGACTTAATACTGGATGAGAACAACTTGTCATTGGCTGAAATTGCACAAGGTTTAGAACTGGATTTTGAGCTGAACTCTTTTCTCATGGGAGAGAACGAGTATGGACAGGCTCTGGAAGATTTTGTCATTGATGATTTTGAAGATATACCAATGTGTGGGTTTGAAGATGATCAACAGGGTGTTTCTCTTCCTGACTTTGACCTAGACTTCGATTTTGGAGCTATCAACAATGAAGACTTGTCTTGGATGAATGAGGCACCAGCAGCTATGCTTCCTGGAGCATCACCTCTCAACAATCAGCACAGTATGCCCATAAGTTTTGCAGCGTAAAAGTTTTGCAGTAATAGGAAATAATCTAGTAGTAATATAAGTGTTCAAGTTATATTATGTTCTGAATCTCATATAGGTAAACGAGGAAGTCCCATTCTCAAAGAAATCGGAATTAAATTCACTTCGAATTCTTTGGGAGAACTTTTTTTTGTCGGTTGAGTCATATTTATTTGTTTGTTGAAGAGGAGAAGAACTAGAGGTTGTTGCGAGTGTCATGGAATAAGGGAGTCCTTTGGGTTTTTCTGTGCTGTTAGAGCCGTCCAAAGGGGTTTCAGTTTGAGTCTTTTCTCTGAATATGAATATGGATGATTATGGACCTTTGAGTTTCTGCCATTTACATTGATGATATTGTTGTTCCCGTTTATTGTTATATGTTCTGGATGGTTTTCATCTGTTCGTTGTTTGGAGGGATTTATAAAGATAAAGCATAAAGATTGCGGTCGATTTCATTAACAAAATCTCAAGTCTTTGTCACGAATATCTTATCCTTTGGTCTGGAGATAAGAAGAATCAACCTCTCTTCTATACTTGGAGACCACGAGGCCTTGCTTTCTTTGTGTTTGGTTGATTCGAAGCTAATAATTCAACTTATAAACATGAAGATATCCCTGATTCCAGATAGATACCACTTCCATAGTTTAGAAAAGAGTCGTCTTGAACTAAAACGATATGAACAAACTGGAATGGAAGGAGTGAGTAGTAATCTGAAAAAGATTGCAAGAAACATTCATTCATAATCATTCTGGAAAAATCATCTTAAAACATGGTCATCAGATGAGCAATTAACAACAGAAGGCATCATTGGTTAGAGCATATCATCTAATTTAATTCATTCTGACCTATACAGAGCAAGCACGATTTCAGTTATGCTATAATTAAAGTCGTGGGCCAAATACTCTTTGGTACTGCAAAAAACAACTTCTCACTCAGCTGCCTTTTCTTCTTTAGCTACAGAGAAAAGAGAGTTGATGTCTGTTGCTTCGCCAAGCAAAAGGTATCAGCAACTTGAGGCCCTGAAAAGATGTTATCTGTTGGGATAGTCTTCTGATTGTGTTTTTTTGTGAGCTGCGCCTATTTTGCTAGCTGTGTGCCACTTATTACCAGTCCTGCCACCTAATAAGTTCTTTCTATTCTTCCTCCTTACATTCGTTTGTACTAACTAAAGTAGTATACTAATTAAGAGTACTGTTTGCTCACCCCTTTCGAATTTAGTGATGAACATACGATTTTTTTTTATTTATTGTGAGGTTTAAAAGTTAATTGCTCAATTACATTTATTTATGAGAAAAATACTAGTAGGTGACAGTGAAGCACGAAATGATGTGGAAAATAAAAGGTGGTGGATTGGGAGGTGGGAAATCCAATGTTGGCCGCCGGTTGTCCGGTAGTAGTAAGAAATGTAATACTCCCTCCCATCCTTTAAATAAGTCATTTTGATTTTGTCTTAAATTTCATCTAGTATATTTTTTTAATTAACTGAAAATTTAAAAAATATATTTTCATATTCGTTGTGTCTCTTGATTGTTAAGAAATATTTTTTTAAGTTTTTTCGTTAATTAAAAATATGTATTAGGTGAAACTGAGTACAAATCAATATGTCTTATATTATGGACCTGAAGGAGAAATACTTAGAGTCTTAATTCAGAAGGAAAAGTTTGATGTGATGTTACACGAATAACTTTTTTTGAGAATTGAATCTAAGTGAATACTAAAATATACTCCTTCCAATAAAAGACATGTAGTAATGTCCTTAATTCCTTAAGCTTTTAAGGTTTAACTAAGCAGGTGTCACCACACAAGGTATGATCGTAAGGTAGGAGTTATCCTAATTGATCCTAAGTTAGTGGGAAGAAAATATTAAGAATCCAAATTAGCATGTGATTTTTTTAATTTATTTATTACGTCTTGGAGAATGGAAAAAACAGTCATCCAAGAGTGTAATCATACGGTGATAGAATTAATCATATGGTTTTAGAAATAGAAAGATGTCTAAATCGAGAGTGGGCCAATAAGAATGAAAACATCTTTTGCCGACCCTTCTTCTTTGATTAACTCAAAGTGAGCTTCTAAATGGTTAGTAGTATTTCATTAATAAATTCCCGCAATCTGTGGCTGACTTTGTCACCATTGGTTTGAGCATCATTTTCTCTTCCGTTAACTTTGAAGATTGAATAAGAAGACCAATAATCACCTAGGGAATTTTATTTTTTTTTTATTATTTTTTTTTCTGTCGAATTTACAATCCTACGGGCTTCACAAAGCTTATTACAATTATTAATCAAATGAAAGTCTTTAGGAGTAGGACCGAAGCCGGGTTGTTTGGTTGTAATTTGTGATGGTACTGGACTATTGGCCTCTTCTTTTACTAGTGTTTGGTACTTTTTTCTTGGATGCAGTTTTCCTTTAGGAATCCGTGTATAGAGTTATTTTCTTCTAGATTATATAGGCCAATGGGGTGGCACCGGCAGAGGTCTTGGGGCTCCATATCATTTTGTACGGAGTTTTGAGACAAGTCAAACCATTTACATTGGAATCTGTCGACTTGAGAGCAACAGTTGTTGAGTAGGCCTTTCATTTCTTTTTCTTTTGCCTTTTCCCATTTGCTGTTAGGATTCGACAAAGATTATGATATATTTTCAAGGCCTAGTAACATTTGACGCAGTGAAGCCCATCTAATGTCTGTGCCTGCTTCAAGTAGTATAAACAATACAAAAAACTTGGGTCTTGGAACTGTGTTCTTCCTACTATCTAAAACTATGCTTTTCGTAAGGTGTTACTCCTTCGATATATATATATATATATATATATATATATATAAACGTACATTGAACTAAAAACAGTAGAAAAGATGAGAATAAACAAAGAGAGTATTAGAAAATGCATTACGAATATTTCGAGTTTCTTGTAACTCTTAACACTTTTTTTTATTTTTCTCCAGAAAATCAACTAATAGTCGAAGAAGTGATGAGGGGATATAAAGATTAAAGACGCTGCATATGCCAAATATTCCCTCCGTCCCATAATTATTGTCCATTTTGCCCAAAAAATTTTGTTCTAAAATTATTGTCCAATTTGACTTTTTATGGATCAAGTTACACATTTGTCCTTAGTAAAAAAACATTATCCATCAAATCTTAGTGGTTAAACAATTACTTATGTAGGGGTATATCCGGTTGTTTAAGGTAAAATATAGTTAAGTTTGACTAAAAATAAAATCTTTCATTTTAGTAAAACTGGATAATAATTATGGGACGGAGGGAGTATGTATTAGGAAGAGTATTACATGAAGAAATACATATTAATTAATTGACCGAAATATTAGTGACCAGACAAAGTTGGCCTCTCCTAAGGTTGGATTTGGGTTGTACTTACCATTTGAGTTGGGCATAGCCCAAGTGAGTGGCCCATGACTACAGAAAATATCCGACCAGCAAAATATATATTTTTCTAAATAGAGTAATTGCGACGAAATATCCAATCATTATAACTCTTCTTTGCCAAGATAATGAGCTCGTGAACTAATCCATTCTCACTTCTACGGATCCAAAATGTCATGCCGTATTTTGATTGATATATTATGTGTTGAATTGTAATGAATTTTAGTCACTTAAGTTGTAATACCCAATGGCACATGAAAAGATGTATCATGGCTGTAATCTAACTCAAAAGGATTAAAACTTCGAAACTCACTGGTTTGCATATATTGATTTGGTTATTGAGGTTCATCAGCATTAATTGGTTTTCAGTAACACACTTGATTCATAGTAGGATCCTTAAAGGACGCCCTTTTCTTGGAAACTCTTAATGCAATCGTCAAACATTTGAGCAACCGACTTCAATGGAGGGAGTCCAAGCTTCAAAATCTTGCTGCTGTCCATGTTGTGGGGATTGTTATCTCCTTTCACACTGCTACACCTAATGAACCACCAATGTATAATCACTCCCAGTGAACTATATCAATGATACGTATTCACCCCGTCTCAAAATTACCAAAAACGTGACAATAATTTTGTGACAAGTTCTGAATATATGTTTGATTTGCTTACTTTTTCACATAGTTGTAGGATGGATATTTAGCCCTCAGCATTTCAATGATCTCGGACCAATGCGCGACCGAGCTCGAACATATTAGTCTCCCTGATGATCTGCTTTCTTCCATTGCCAGAATATGTGCTGCAACAACATCATCTATGTGCACGAATCCAACTGTCGTATTCGGGTATTCCTCGATCAGGCCTAACAAACAGGATCACAGATTGAATTAGGTCTAAGACAATGTCGGTGTTGAAATTGATAGCAGAAAGTAGTGGCTAACCTGCAATAATTGCCAGTATCATTTGAAGTGTACTGGTTGGTTGAGGTGCCAGCAGAGGGCCAACTACGAAAGAGGGATTCACCACAACTAAGTCGATCCCACTTTCTTCTGCTAGTTTCCAAGCCTCTTTCTCTGCTAGAGTTTTCGCATAGGCGTACCACAGCTGAAAAGCAGATTGAATTTAGCAATGTATCTAGAAGGATTATTAAAAGTGCTAGAGATTTGAGAAACGTTGTTACATTGTGTTGTTTGCAATATTCTGTATCACTCCAGTGACATTCATTGAGTGGAGAAATTTGTTGAGCGTCGTCGCGGTATCTTATCGCTGAACAGGATGATGTCAAGACAACCCTTTTACAGCTTTTTGATTTCTTGCAAGAGTTTAATACGTTCACGGTGCCCTTTATACATGGATCAATTAAATTTTCCTGCATGGAGGAGGAAAGGAAAAAATAAATCGATCAACATTAGGTTATATTACTTCAACTTATGAGGTTGGTATTTTTGTTTAGTACTGCTTCCGTCCCAAAATAAGTGTTTTGTTTGATGACCCGATTTATATTACCTTAACATGTTCATCATATGGGACGAGGACAGGGGATGCAGTATGAAAAACTCCATCTACTCCTTGAACTGCCTCATCAAAGCTACCATCAACCAACAAATCAGCTTTGACAATCTTGAGCCTCGCCTTAGCTCCATTTAGCTCCCAAAGAAATCCTACCTTTTTCACATTTTCTGTTGATAAAGAAAATTCATCCATCTTTTTAGTATTCAATGCAGCATTTTTGATCCAAATGAACACACGTATATGCTGTAACATTCAACTTAGAAATAAGTACCCGGAAAATGAAATTTCAAGAACAATAAAAGCCCCGAAATAGAAAAACCGTATGAAGTTTCATGAACTAGTTAGTAGTAATTAATGGCACCTGGATCACGGACAGTGGTTCTCACATTGTGGCCCTTCTCCAGAAGGGACTTAACTAGGTAAGCAGCAATGAAACCTGTTCCCCCTGTCACACAGTACTCTGGCATTTTATCTTAAATTTTTCTTCTACAAAAATTCAATCAACTCCTGACTCCCAATGGCTTTTAGCTGGAAACAGAGTTATTGATGCTTAGGCTTTTGTAACCGGTGCATTTTTATTGCTTCAGAACAGACAAAATATACGGTCTATCTTGTTTCAAATTAAGTATAGCCAGCAAAAAGCATGTGAACAGCGTAAATTTTGGTTTGTGTTTGGTGATTTCTTTGATATTTGCAAGAAAGGTGGATCACGTACAAAGAGTTTTTTGGGAGCGTTAAACATAAATTGGTGAAGAAATTCAGGTAAACAGGGCATATCTTTTACTCTCATATTCTTGTCAACTTCATTCTAAAAAGAAAGGTAAATTAAGGAAATAATGGTGATCTGATTCAGAAATTTAACCGGTAGAAGAAATAAATTGGGAAGTACGGCATTGCAGCAAAGTGGCAGAGGAGCATGAAAGCTGCCTGATCACCAGCTACCAATTAAGTTGCATTTCATAATTTTTCATCAATCATAAATGCTTGGGTCATTGCACCAAGTTTGATTCTGGCACCAAAACAATGGTAGGTAGGTTTTTTCTTCATAAGGGTCACCCGAAATAACTAGCAAAATTTGTAATCTTTGGAACAAGAATCATGTGGTTGATTACCCCAAGCTCCTGCTACCGCCAATGATGCATGATTTCTATGAGGTTAGTGACAAATATCATCAGTTCATTACTACTTATGGAAGCTACAAGAACTTGCTAATCAATGCCCTGCAAATTAGTAGTATTGAGTGTTGACAAATTTAGAAACAAGTCTTTCTCTTAGACAAGACCCTATGCACCCATTTTTTTCCGCTGTTTTTGACAAGTGTAATCGAACCCACAAAATAAATAGGAATAGCCACAATCTATGAGGTTCTTACAGATGGAGGAATTTCATTTGGCCAAATTTATATGGATTGAAATGGACAGAATTTGCACAGAGAGACAGACATTTATGTATATAGATTGACGAGTTTATTGGCACTGCTCTGAAGCAGTCCTTTTGGAAAAAAAAAAAAAAACATACAGATAGAGACTCCACATGTAAAACATTACTACTGGAAAAATGACCATCTATAACCAACATTGGTACTACTATATCAAGAAACCAAATCCAATCCCCCTGAACAAGAAAAAGGAAACATGCCAAATTGCCAATCCAATAATTTTAGACATTCAGGGTAACAATCTTGCATGCATGAGCATAAACAATAATTAAAAACTCTAGAGCTTAACCACTTTAGGTATGTGAACTGGGTATCTGTCAATGCATTCATTCCAGGGGCTCTCAGTTGGAGTCTTCACAGTTCTGTTGCAAACCCAAACTGCACTGTTACACTTGAATCCACTCCCAAATGCAATCTGCCAAACCCTGTCACCTTTCTTCATTCTACCTTTAGCTTCAATGTAACTCAATTCATACCATAATGATGATGATGAAGTGTTCCCAAACCTATGTAGTGTCATTCTTGAAGCCTCAACATGCTCATCTGATAACTGCAGGCTTTTCTGCAGCTCATCAATCACAGCCCTGCCTCCAGCATGAATGCAGAAATGCTCAAATGCTTGCTTAAAGTCTGGTATATAAGGCTTTAGTTTGAGCTTAAAGATTTTCTTCCCTATCAAAGTGAAGAGAAACAGGAGCTGCTCTGAAGCTGGAAGAACAAGAGGACCCAGCGTTGTGATATTCGACTTCAACGCTTCGCCCGCAATCGCCATGAGATCGATGGATAATGAGATCCCAACTAGCCCTTCAGAGTCCTCTGTTTGTTGAACACATCTGTAGGATTTATCATCAGCTCCTTTGTGAGTCCTTACTACGTGTCGCAATCGATATTTCGCGCGGTATTTGTCTGACCTTCGGTTGGACAGAAGAACAGCAGCTCCTCCCATTCTGAACAAGCAATTAGGCAAAAGCATTGATCTATCACTTCCCAGATAGACATTGGGAGTGATGATTTCAGTACTCACAACAACAGCATTAGAATTCGAGTGCACTTGGAGAAGATCTCGCGCTAAATTGACCGAAATTAGCCCTGCGCTACACCCCATCCCTGATAAATTAAAGCTCTTTATGTTACTCCTGAGCTTGTATTTGTTAACAACCATAGCTGAGAGCGAAGGGGTAGGCGAAAACAGGCTGCAATTCACGATCAGGATATCAATGTCTCTAGGCTTAAGACCCGTTTTCGCTAAAAGGTTATCCATTGCTGAGAAGATAACCAGCTCAGCTTCTTCCCTGGCAAGTTCCATGGAAGGAGAAGGTGGAATTGTGTGTATAGCCGGGGGTAAACATGTCTCTTCGCCTAGGCCGGAGCGTTCGAGCATTTTGACTTGGAAATGTACACTTTTGGGATGATTGGGAAGAACAAGCCGGGCGTGTTCTACAAAAGACGAAGTAGGGGCTCTGAGATAGCAGGGAGGTTTGAAACATGCAAAGTCTACTAGGTAGACGGTACGAGGTTTCGCCAAGATGTAAAAAGTTGTAACGAAAATGATTAGGAAGCAAGAACATATGATATGAACAAGTGTGAAATGGAGTGAATTCCATAGGATTAGAATCTCTTCAGGGCCTTTTTGAAGGATTTGGAGAAATATGGACAACATTATGGGTATCAGCAAGAATGTTAAGATGTGGTTCACTAGGTATTGGTATCCAAGTTTCACATACTTGAGCTTGATTGAATGAGAGATTTCTGGCATTTTTTTTTTTTTGCTCTTCTTCTTCTTCTTCTTCTTAATTCTTTCTCCCTGTTGTATACGTGGGATTTTGTTGGGAATTGGGAGGTTGATTCAAGCTAGAAGAGAAGAAGTTACGAGTTTAGAATTTGTTGTTGTGTTTTTGAGCCCTTTTTAAAGACTGTCCAACAAAGGTTGGGATATTAATGGGGGGCAGATGAAAGTGGACCTAATGAAAAGTAATTGAAGGGGATGCATGGCAAATGGAAGAGCTTTCTTGTAGTCTATTCTTTGCAATTTTTGAGATTTTAAGTTTAGACTGATCTGGAATCTGGGATTAATATCTTGAGCTAACAATATAAACACACTTTTCTTTCTATGATCCCCACCCAGATTGTCATTATAATTTGAAGAGCATGATGGAAATTTGATTATCAAAGTTGGAGTTACTTCATCATACATTTGTGACCATATATAGAAGCCCCTATTGCTTAAAAAACAGTGTTATTTTAGGAAACAGGGTGACATATTCAGTAGATCTCCATCGACCATGTTCATTGATATATCTCCATCGAGTCTTTCTCCAATATCAATTAGGTTGTTTCAATAAGAAATGTGTTCTCAAGAGGGTTAAAAAAACCTTTTTTATTTTTAAATTTTTTGTAATTAAATTACCAGACCAGCTCAAGCCAAGCCGCCTTTCCTTTCCTTCTCTACTTTAGTCTCAGCACTCAATGTGTACTACTTCCTCTGTGAGTTTTAAATTTTGTACTATTTTTTGTACAAATTTAAAAACTCAATGTGGACTATTTTTTTGAGACGGAGGTGCTATAATTTTCGATAGAAATAATACATCAGTACTCTGCAAACCCGAGTCGATCTCTTTCCAAGGTGATGTAGTCAAATACTTCTTGGGAAAACGAAAAGAACTATGATCTTTATCATCGATTGTCTAGCGGCTTCTCAAGTCATATTATTAGTATGTTAAGATTATAAACAAAACAATAATCCAACAATAAACTCCTCCATCCTTATTATAAGGCAGTCTTAAATTTCATACAGAATGTCTTTCTAATTGGAAATTTTTTTTAAAAAAATATATTTTCACATTCATTGCGTTCTTTTAATTATTAAGAAATATTTTTGAGGCTTTTATTTCAATTAAAACGACATTTTATGTGAACTTAATTAGAACAAATTAAAATATTTATAATAAGGACCAGAGAGAGAGTACATTGCAGGCTTCAATATTCGATTCGTAACAATTATCTCCGAGGTTAAAACCGTCTGCTCTAATTAAACTCCTATCCAACCATCACGTCATGATATGTTTACAACTATATTCACTTTGTCAGAGTTAAATAAGGTACTTGCTAGTTTATCCATATAAAAGTATTGCTTAGTTTCGCTGTTTAGGCTAATGTAATTGGTTTTGGGCACACATATTGTTTCATGATAACGAAGCATTAATTTGCATGAGAAAACGGTTAGACAAATATGTACCCCGTGATGCGAACTAAAATTAAGCTCACATATATCCCAAAGTCGATTATACTCTAATTCTCTCTCTCTCTTTCTTTTTACAACTAAGGAGGCCGAAGTCTGACAGGAAACCTAATAACAACGTATATTGTTTTGAAAAACAGAGTTTCTAGTACACTATACGGAGAATCCTAAAGGTTAAAGCTCTCTCCCTAGATTAAGGGTTCGATTTGTACTTTTATCATTTAAAAGTGATAGTGCTACGCAGAAGTTCATGAAGTTTCTGTTTTTCATAGATTGCACTCATAGTAATAGTTTAGGTGTTTAGAAATTATATTCATGGTATACAGAAGGCAGAAAAAAATCCACATAGTTTACAACGATAGTTTATTGATTGATTAGGGATTTTGTATGATTGTTCCAATCGCTCATATTTTAGGGAAATGTCCATGTCTGAATGGACACGGGAGCGGACTCTAGAAAGAAATCTTAAACTAATTACATTAATGACTTGTAGAATTAGTCATAACAATAACATGGACATTTCAACAAACATTTGTACAAAACCACTAGATTTCGTGGAGTAAACTGGGTATAAAGTTAACATTTATCTCCATCAAGAACATAGAATGTTCCTTTGGTCGTTTTTATATCTTATGGGGAGCGATCACACACCAGCTAGCCCGTCACTCAAAAGGAAAATGACAAAAACGATCATGAACAAAAACACAGATAATAGCAATCACCTTTTTTTTTTTGTAACAAAAAAAATAAAATAAAAATAAAATAGCAATCACCTTTTGACTTCAAATTAGGTTTCTTGTTGGATATGAACAAGTTAAATTGTACCAGGTCCTAAATTCGTGTAGATGTTGTGGAGGAAATTTTTTTCATATTCAATGAATGAATTGTGGAAGTTGAATATGGAAATTGGAAAGTAAAAATGGAGAAAGTTTTTTTCCCCCCTTAGTTTCTTTTTGAAAAACGCCATGCATGAGGTAGAGAAATATTTGAACAGCTTAGAGCAAAAACATGGTCATCAACTCGTCTTGTAAGTTGCCACAAGTGACTACAATTTACCCAACCGAAAGAGAACAGCGTCCAAGGATAAGTAAATCAATCAGTAAATGAGTCAAAGACTTTTGATTAGGGTTAAAAAAGGACATACCTTACATTTATATTTACTTATTAAAATGTCTCTTTTGACTAGTATCTGGAAAAAAGAAAAAAACACTCTTTAAGTGTTGGCTCGAGAACGACTAAGGTGTTGCATACTAAGGAAAAGCAAATTTTGTGATGTATTATCCTGGTCAACTTGGAATAACACAACTACTACGACTAGTATTTGAACCTAGTTGTATCACAAATTTATTATAGTTACATTGCATTTAAAGATTTATGTATGCATTTAGTACTACTAAGATTTGCCTCCATCAAATGTTTTGTTTCTCCTGCTTCATAAAAATATTCTATATTATAGTTGAATATTATACTTTAGTTATGTGGACAGAGAGAGTATTTTTTGTAAGGAAAACAAAAAAATCTACTAGACTCTATTAATCTGCATATATATATATATGTGCAGATTAATATTTGAACAGCTTAATGCATACATAAATCTTAGTAGTACTAAATGCAGACATAAATCTTTAAATGCAAATTGTAACTATAATAAATTTGTGATACAACTAGGTTCAAATACTAGTAGTTGTGTTATTCCAAGTTGACCAGGATCATATATATATATATATATATATATATATATATATATATATATATATACTGAAAAGCCGAAACTTAGTTTACAAAACAACTCTTTACTGAAGAGTTGATTCCGGCCAATCGGCGGTCAATTTTCCTAAAACTGAGTTCGGGGGTTGCTAAAATATGTAATCAGAGGATAGGAAAATTGTAGTTTGGCTAATAAGTTTGCTGGTACATTGCCTTGTCTAAGATGAGAAGTCTGCAATTATAAATTCAAAAGAAAAAAAAAAAAAAAAGAGAGGAAAAGTATCCTCCGAGTCCTAAGCCCTACCTATCAAGCCCAAGCCCATCTCCACCTAGAGCCCAAGTCAGTCTGATACAATCCCCATTTAGGTTCGAAATTTGAGGAATTAGTGAAAACCAATACAAACCTCTACCAGGGAGGGATGTAATGATAGTTGCTTGAATCCCATATTGGTGGTGGATGACACCGATATGAGGTTTATATATCCTTAAGTTCTTCCCTCTTATAAGTTTGCTTTTGAAGTAGGCTCCCTAAGAGGCATGACAAGTGGTATCATAGCTGATCCCCACCCTTCGTGCTGGCCTGTGGAAAGAAATACTTAGAAGAAGGGCTACTCGGAATCACGCAGAGTGTGAGCTGCCGGAGAAAAGGGTTACCTGCGGAGTAAAGCTGCCACAGAAAAGGCTACTTGTGCCGGAGTGAAACGGTTTAGAGTGCAGCTGGTGAGACGTCAGAACGGAAGCGTGGTGATATGTAATGATAGTTGTTTGAATCTCACATTGGTAGCGGATGATACCGATGTGCGGTTTATACGTTCTTGGGTTCTTCCCCCTTATAAGCTAACTTTTAAGGTGGGCTCCCCCCCAAAAACATGACAAGGGATAATAGAACAGCCCAAAAACATTTTTTCCCCAACCATCAATATCGACCCTCCAAAATCATCATAATCCATCAGAAGTAATTAAGACAGTAACTATGGAATGATTTTCCGAACTTTTTTAGTCTTGAAGTAATAAAATTTATTTTAAAAAAATTAAAAAGGAAAAAAAAATCATTTAGTCCAATAACAAGAGATAGAAAAACTAATGGGGTAGTCACCAAATTGCAACTACCTGGCCCATTAGCTGTGAAGTTAAAGTTATATATGCTTAGATTTCCAATCTTCCAAACTAATGGGATGTTCTTCTAACTTGCTTAATCAGAAGGTCCTTCTGGAATCTGGAGTTTGGAAACTTTGCTTAAACTCATTTCTTTTCTTCAGCAGGAAACTGACAGTTAAGAAATAGAGTTTGCAACAGTAACACGCAGTAAATCTAGCTTCTTGATTTGCTGAAGTGAAACATTTATGTCTTTTTAACGGTTGGAGTTTAACCCTACTCTAAATTCGAAAAGAAATCGCATACATTTTGTACTCCCGAAGTTTAAGTCATTAGCCAGTAACAAACTAGGAAAAAGTGAAATAGATGAAAAGAAAATCTCATTTGGTTTGCTGGGCCCTTCCACTTCAAAGTTCAAACCCAGAACAAATCTATCCACATGAAACAAATTTCCCTATGAATATGCCCATCTATTGTTGTCCCACACTACGTTTTGGTATCATGCCAAATCAATTTGGACTTTACCAAATATGGCATATTAATTCTTCACTGTTGTTGAACTGATTGGTGGGAGGAGGTATGACCACCTTCTCATACTGCCCATCTGTACCCTAAGTTCATTGCAATGTCTTCCTCAAGCATTTATTTTTAATACAACCTCAGTGCTCCCAAAATCCCATTACATTACCAAACTTATGTAATTTGTAATCAAAATCCTCTTTCATTATAATTCCTAATTCAATTTTTCATCCCTCAAAAAATGCCTCAAAAGTTGCCTGAATTAGCCAATGTTGTTAAGCTAAAATATGTGAAATTGGGCTACCAATATCTAGTAAACCACTTCTTAACTTTCTTCCTAGTAGCCATTTCAATTGTGTTAATTCGATCAGGCCCTGATGACATTGCAACCCTTCGGAAATATTTCCAATTCGATTTCATACACATTTCATGTTCTTCATTTTTAATCATGTCAATCTCAACTTTGTACTTCATGTCCAGGCCTCGCCCTGTTTACCTAGTCGATTATTCTTGTTTCAAGCCACCTGTCACATGTCGGGTTCCATTCTCAACATTCATGGAACATTCAAAGATGAATCTTAGTACAGAGCCCAAAAGTGTGGAATTCCAAATGAGGATTCTTGAAAGATCCGGTCTTGGTGAAGAGACGTGTTTGCCGCCGGCAATACATTACATCCCACCAACACCATCAATGGATGCTGCAAGAAAGGAAGCTGAAATGGTCATTTTTCAATCAATGGACACACTTTTGAAGAAAACAGGACTTAATCCTAAAGACATTGACATCCTGATTGTAAACTGCAGCCTGTTTTCGCCGACGCCGTCGCTTTCCGCAATGGTGATCAACCACTATAAATTGAGAAGCAACATCAAAAGTTTCAATCTTTCCGGGATGGGATGCAGTGCAGGGCTAATTTCAGTTGATTTAGCTCGTGATCTTCTTCAAGTTCATCCCAACTTAAATGCTGTGGTTATCAGCACTGAGATTATTACTCCAAACTATTATCAGGGCAAAGAAAGGTCAATGCTGCTTCCGAATTGCCTGTTTAGAATGGGGGGTGCAGCGATTTTACTGTCGAATCGCGGGTCTGATCGCAAAAGAGCCAAGTACCGGTTGCTTCATGTGGTTCGTACTCACAAGGGTTCTGATGATAAGGCTTATAAATGCGTGTTTCAAGAAGAAGATCCACAAGGAAAACCAGGGATTTCTTTGTCTAAAGAGCTTATGGTGATTGCAGGGGAAGCATTGAAATCTAACATCACTGCCATTGGCCCTTTAGTCCTGCCTGCATCAGAGCAGCTTCTGTTCTTAATCTCATTGATTGTAAGGAAATTCTTGAATCCCAAATGGAAGCCTTACATTCCAGACTTTAAGCAAGCATTTGAGCATTTCTGCATCCATGCTGGAGGCAGGGCAGTGATTGATGAGCTTCAGAAAAATCTGCAGTTATCAGGTGAGCATGTTGAGGCGTCAAGGATGACATTGCATAGGTTTGGGAATACTTCATCCTCGTCATTATGGTATGAATTGAGTTACATTGAAGCTAAAGGGAGGATGAAGAAAGGTGATAGGATTTGGCAAATTGCATTTGGGAGTGGATTCAAGTGTAATAGTGCTGCTTGGAAATGTAACAAGAGTATCGACATACCAACAGATGGAGCTTGGTCTGATTGCATCGATAGGTATCCTGTGCACATACCTGAAGTCGTCAAACTCTAAGGAACTCACAGAATAGTGGTATGGGAATGATGCATATTGTCTTTCCGGCTCCTCGGGGACTTGTGAAGTCCCCCAAACAACATATGATCCGTAGGATGCGTTAGCAAATACAGTATAGTGATATAAATGTTTAGTGATATCTTGTCTTAATGTTGAGCCATTTCACAGATTGTGTTTTTCTCAGCCTTACTAGATTCAGAATCGAAAAAAAAATTGTGAACCCACAGTTTAGAATCATAATTTGTTATAAACCGTCGATTTTAATTTAAAAAATAAATATCATCTAAATTCTTTATTATTATTTTTTAAATCTTTTCTCCTATATTCAACGTGTTAATTTAATATTAGCATATTTAAAAGACAAAAAATTGTAAATATATTACATATACATGCATATTCATTTCACCGCTCATCTCATCTCATTTTCATAGCGGTTGTTCTTTGTTAAAAAAAAACGATAAATTTACCCTTTGATAATGGTAATTACTAGCTAGTTTATGAACGAGAAACTCAACAATAATACTTTCATAAGTATCATTATTAATTCAATAATAATAATATTTAAATAAATAAACCAAAATCAAATCAAAACTGGCGGTTTATAAGCTGAAAATCGAACCTTCTATTGAAAGTTTGGTTTCAGTTCCACCGTTTAATGATCCGTGACCTTTGTTAACAGAGACTGAAGAAGAAGACATATTAACCGAGACTAAAACAAAGGAGGCTGAAACAAAGGATTTGGGAAAAGTTTTGTGTACAGACTTAGCCTATTTATACAAGATAACAAGTCTTATCCTAAATCTAATCATATCAAGGAATTAGTAACCGGATCAAATCAAATCACCAATCATATCCCTAAAATCATGCTAACAACCTTAAACCGCCGACAACTATAAATGGAAACTTGGCATTATAACAAACATTAGACATCCTTCACTTGAAAGAGTTTGGTTGCCAGAACTCTGCCGTACATTGTCACCAAGGCCTTCTGGAATGGAAAAAAAGAAAAGAAGAGAAAAAAAAAACTACTTAATCTAACTACAGAGAGTGAGCCAATGAATGCTGTAAATGTACACTGCACATGCAATGCTTAACACGCATAAAATAAAAATTCACATTATTGGAAATAATAGGAGTAATCATTACAACATGGTACAAATTTGATCAAACTGAGACCTTATCTACGGAACCGAATTGTGCCTTTGCGGTTGTGACTTAACGTTCAATGGCGGCGAAATTGAGATTTCAAAAGCAAATAGCTGTTGAAAGCAACGTCGCCTGTGCATTCCGACCATGAGGGACCGGACAACTCAAACAAGAAGCACAAGCGAGTGAAATCTCCCCTCTGCTCTAATCACACCCCGCTATAATAATCTAATAACCTGACTATCTCTTATGCACCGATATATAGGTTATGTTTCTAAGCAAAACATCTTAGCAAAGAAAGTAAGAGAAATCATATTACAACAACATATTTAAGTGGGTGATGCATGTCGATTTTCCAACCTAAATAATCACCAACTCAACATGTGAAGGTACTATTCCTACAAGCTGCTCTTTGGCAAGTTTCCTAGAAGTTTTTTCCTCTCCAATTCTGGGAAGGCATCCAGGGAATGGTTGATCCACAATTCTCTCCAGGGCCACAGCGTTTTGTAAAAAGAACTCAACAAGTTCAACTTCAGTTCTACGACCGCATATCTCAACAATTTTGAGATGTTGAAGAGGAAAACTTTCACCTTTCTTAGACGTATTCCTATGTTCTCTACCAGAAATGAAAGGCCAGTTCAACTGCAAAACAAAACATATTCATAATTTCATAGGGAAAACACCGTGCAAAAAGCGAGAAACGATTCCATGACAAAAATACTAGCGCGTATGGTAAGGATATGGCAGACATCATACACGAAAACCATCATGCAAACATAAAGTTCTACGGAATTGGTTCAGGGACTAAAGGCCAACAGAGAACATTGCAACATGATCCAGTGCATTGTAAATTAGGAATTTATTGGAGACACAATGAGGGGAAAACATCACAAACAAGGTGAAAATACTATACTAAAGTATAAACTCCCCCAACAAAAAAAAAGAGAAAAAACATACCTTAAGAGTAAACTTCTCCAAGTTGGGGGACGCCCGTATTAAAGAAGTGAAAGGCAGCAGGCTATGATCACTTGCGGCGGATGCAAGTAAAGTAAAATGCTTTAATTTAGAGAGCTCGGGAATATCATCTGTATCAAATGAGTTCTGTCAAACCCAACAAAGATGGGTATTAGATCATAATTGGGATCACAATAAATACTTCTACTGGAGAAATACACTAAGAAAAAAAAAATAGAAATAAGGATTAACAAATCTGGCTAGTATGGTAAGACATTCCAATTCTGATAGGCAACAGGAAATGACGCCTCTAATTAACTTCCTAATCAGTCCATCAACAACTATATTTACAAGCCTAGGAACGTTTGGAAGATTAAAACATGACCATTTGGCTGAGGATAAGAGCAGAAATCATGCAGTTGTGGAATCAGAACCACAAATTCTCACAAGTGCTTAACATAATCAATTCCTCTTTTGCTCTACCAAAAAGCTACTCATAAAAAAACAAACATGGAGAGAAATGACTCTTCAAAAACCAAACACCTTTGGACCTACACCAGAAATATCTATTCAGGACGGGATAAATGTCTCAATGCATAATGGTTATACATTGTCCACTTTGCTGAGAAAGGTTACGGAAGGTCAACTTCTAAAATATGTAATAGACAGAGAAGTCGAAATGTGAAATCAATAGAACAAGTTCCTTTTGTTTGGGTATATATATGTAAACTTTTAATTGCTATGACAAGTGGTCCTGCCACTGATGAATAAAATGTAACTACAGAAACAAGGGACTTGAATGGTCCTAACAGATCTCCCTAAAATATTAAGGCCCTTTAAGTATCAAAACATATCATAGGCCAAATCATGATATAAAAAGGATTTAACTTTAAATCATTGGTTTCATGAATTACATGCTTTTCACTTTTCAGAAAGATGAAAAGCTCTTCAACAATATGAAACAGAGAAACTGGGGGAGTAGATAAGTTTCTGGGAGATAAGGTGAGAAGAAAGTACACAGAAGAGGGGAACATGGAGGGAATGTCATTTGAACCATCATTTCAACTTGAGGTATAGCAGCACTTAACCACTAGGCTGCATATGGTTTTAAGATACTGATTATACCAATTATGCAAAATGCTCTATACCTCTGCAGATACAATCCCACTAATACACAGTCTGCATATATAAAAAAGTAAAATTTGACAGGTTGATATGATATTATGATATACATTCAGGAGCGATATAAGTTCAATGAAACCAGGATAGGTATAAGTTACTATAAAGACTAAGACACAAAGAAGGCAAACCAACCGAACTAAATTCAAGCGGACCTTAATTTTTAAATTCAAGCCATATATGAAGAAAAGTACAATTGATAACTTTCTCGGCACTGAAAGTGATATGCTTTGCACTGCCTCATATATCGAATTTTGAGATTTGTATGCAAAATGTAGATTATTTTTTTAAAATATTCTCCCTTGTCTTAATTTTTAGATATGATAATATACATATATATATAAACTTGATCATTTATTGCTGATCACCGTGTGAAGCTTTGATCTTGTATACCGATAAATCTGGGCCCCTAGGCTCGGCCCATCTAATATTTGGATTGAGACTTAAAGAGTACATTTACCCATTATGTAACATTCGGCCAGTCAGTCTTGTCTTGGACACCAGAGACTGTTCTTGTTGACATGTGAAACCGCATTCGATCAATTTACTAAGGTATTACGAATTACGAGTGTTTTGCCACCCAATTTATGTTTTCCCTGATTTGACGATTTTTTATTTTTTTTTTACAATGAAAAGAGGCAGAAGCCTAACTTAGGTCACTAAAACCTTCCTTGGATAGGAGACACCAATTGTGTCATGTTCTAACCAAGGAATAGCACCTGAGGGGGATCATACAAACGTAAAAAACCAATACTTCCCATGAATGCATATACTGTATACAAGCATTTCTAGTCATATATTAAGCCTGCCATTGTTTCCTTTAAGTCTTTTATTTAAAAATTAAGGTCCGCTTGAGTTTTTTATAGTAACTAAGTAACCCAAGATCTTTAATGTGAAACTCACTATGTAAATATCGCTTAAGTTTTGCAATTTTGGCGGAATCATTTCCAGTCACAATAATGTCATCAACATCTATGAGGACAACAATAAAACATAAATCACAACTATACGTAAATAGGAATGAATCCGAGTGTGACAAATGAAAACCAGCTCACAAAAGGGAATTGGTAAACTTTTGATACTAGTTACGAGAAGCTTGTCACAAGCCATAGAGGACCTTCTGAAGGCGGCAAACACGTTGCTCCCCCTTTCTCGCAAAACCCTGAGGGATCTTCATATACACTTCTTCATCGAGATCTCCATGTAAAAAAAGCATTAGTCACATCGAGTTGATGCAACTCCCACTTACAAACGGATGCAACAGCAAGTAGACAGCGGATATGACTAGCTTTACAACTGAAGTAAATGTCTCATGAAAATCAATCCCTTCAATTACGTATACCCGTTGCCATGGGGTTTCACCTCAAAACCAATTGGTAATGCGGGGAGTAGCCCATGTAACTTATATATTGATGCAAAGTCACTCCCAACACCGATGTGGGACAAGAGTTTCATCATTCCCCCTCAGGCCTAACGAACATAGACCAGATCACCTGATATTTTTATGGATTACTCCAATCGCATCTGGCCCAGTAGGCATGGATTTAAATCAGTCCGATTGCCTATTATAATACTGGGCCTGACACGCTCTGATACCATAAAGAGATTGGAAGAAAAAATTGTATATTTCCATTGATCCTGTATATGTTTTTATACAAATTTATAGAAACCCTAGACTATGGTAAAATAATAATTACAATATGGTAATTACATTAATATATTGTCTAGTAATTTATTTAACTTCAATATATATTTGCACAAACACAAACCCTGCGGGGGCTATAGTATCCAGCCTAGATTAATGATGAAAACAAATAAAAAAGATGATCTTGAAAACAACTAAAGGTTGGGAGAACTAATTAATTAAACTTGGAAAAATTTAATGATTAACTATGACATACTTACAACATGAAATATATTGCATGATTTGAGTAGGAAAGGTTAAGAATAAGGATTAACAAATTAAACCTTCATCCAGCATACTGTTAAATGTACATGTACAATGGAAGATTAATTTATTTGGAATTAGGGTAATGAACCCGAACGGCCATGCTGCAAAATTTCCAATGACTGATAAACAAATTTGCTACCCTTGTGGAAGCCTTATTGTTTGCAATTACTGAGAGACTCATTTGCCACACTTCTATACTTAAAAGTACCGAGATATATTTTTCAGCCACCACATGAAACAAACACATGACCTCACGAAAGGATACCAGCTGAGACTCTTATTATGGGTAACATTGATCCAATATTGCACGATGATTTATACCTCGTCCTCGTTGTCTCAAATTAAGATAATCCAATATTCAATAACTATATGAAACTACTTATTTTAAAACGTTGTTGTATATCAGCCATTATCGTTGATCTCTGATTGTCTTTAAAGAGGTATTTGCTAGCTACAATATTTCTTTCTTTTCTTTTTATAACAAAAAAATGAATTTGTTATCACTTGATCCTTGGCTATTTCTCTAAGTAGCCAGTTAGTTCTTTTTTCATACTCACTGACTTTGACTCAAAACCATAATCTACTTTATCATCCTACCAATTTTTTCGAACCCCTGTGATTTCTTGAAGTTTGGAGTAATGGTCAAGTCAGGAGAGTCGACTTGAAATTCGTCACTCCCTTTTTGGTCTAGCTTTTGTTACCCCTTTGTTGTTCTGATCTATTGGACAGCGTTATTAATAACATTATTATTATTTTTTTTGATATGGAAGTACCATCGAAGATTGATCTTGATCCCCATTGAAGGTCAGCATTATACCAAGCCTCATTCAACCTTCTAGTAAAGTCCTCCTTTCTACAAAGGAAATTGTTTTCTCTATTTGATTACTATGTAAAGTAGGTTATTATCAATTAATAAGTTGTCGAATTTCTACTTCCCATTCGATTCTTTTCCAATGTTTCATCTACTTCCCATTTGGGGTATTATCCAAGCAGGAATTAAAGTAGGTTATTATCAATTATCATCAAAGCAAAATATGTATTTAGTAGTGCTATTTTCTTCTTCTTCTTCTTCTTCTTCTTCTTCAATTAATGTGTGCGATCACGTATCTATTAGAATTCACTTATTATTTTGACATAAACTTACAATTTCAATATCCATATAGAGCAAACCCAATTTGAAGCATGATCAGACTTAAGACAGTACTTAAGCCCCCCAAAAAATAGATAACTGGGTGAAATTACTGGAACTAATTTAAAGCTTTGTGAAGCCCTGAAAAATTGCCGGCACATCCCATGTGATTAGTTTGTGTATAATATATGGTCTTCTTCAACCTTGAGGCCAACAAAATGGAAGATGATACTCAACAAGTTAGGGACAAAAGTCAGACTAAAAATATACTCAAATGTTAGAGATTTTTTTCGGACCATAAAACCCAATCTGTAGCTACCTGGCAATAGGAGTTTGGAACAGATTCGCAAAGCTCATAATCCACACTACTTTTCTGCACTCCAGTCTTTCAAATCACATTTTTATTTTTATTTTCCGCTTTGATATCCAAAAGAGGTCGAAGGATTTCCTCTCATACAATTACTTTACAGAAATATATGATTCCTAATTAAAGAAAGCGTCTATCAACTCACAACATTGGCCCAATCACTAACAGATACATACCCGAAGTTATGACATACTCCTTTCGTCAAAAAATTATTGTCCTGTTAGGATTTTAATTTTTTAGTATAAATTGAACTAAAAATGAAAGTTCAAATTAAACAATAATTTTGAGACAGAGCTAAGGAGTAACGTATTTTGAATTTTGGAGAATTTGCAGTTCCGTGGTATAAGATCAGATGGAATATCCTTGTTTAATTTGATTAAGAGCACAAAACCAAAAAAAAAAAGAAAAAATCGTTTGGCACTACTATATTGAATCTATAAATTTGGTAGTTTAATTTGATCGATCTTCTGCATTTTTATATCTATTTTTTGTTAATTGTTGGTTGGTAGTTGAAAACTAAAAGGAGTCAAAATAAACACCAACTTAATATGGATTTGGTAAAGAGTCATATATATAGTCAGTAGTCACCAACTTCCATTTCGTTTTCGCAGAATTGATTTCCTTCAAGTTTCTTTCTTTTTCTTTTTTCCTAACCTTCTGCCTTTCAATGTTTTCTTCCTTTTTGAACAACTCTACCTATATTACTTATTCAACGTTTTGATCGCGGAATCTAAGATTGTTTCTACCGATCTCCATTGCAGTTGTGACATGTTTATTGACCCTCCATAACAAATACATTAACTGACTTCTAATTACATTTTTTTTACTAGTAAATGTGTCATTTAAACAATTGAAATTATTTTTTGTAATTATTAGAAACATAAGCTATAATTTTGGGGAAGAATGACATCTATTTTTATTCATTTATTTTTTGGTAAAATATCTCCAATTTTTTTTTAATGATCCGTGGCTATTTATCAAACTTGCCAGTGCACAACTACCAACTGACTTTGTCAAAATCAAAATCTTGAAATTACTAGTAATATATAATAATTAACGCACCGAATTCAACAAAGTCAAAGTACGGCCCCATGTTCTTAAACAATATACTACTCCCTCCGTCCCATAATTATTGTGCGGTTTGAGTTTTTATTTTTAGATTAAATTGTATTAAAAGTGAAATTTCAAATTGGACAATAATTTTGGGAAGAGGGAGTATTACATATGAGGATTATCAATATTACCAAGTTCTTAATGAACTCCTATGATCTCTCTCGGTTATGATGGTCAACTCAGTAGATTATAGTGCTTGGAATTCGTCCCCCCATTTTTTTTCTTCCTCTTTTTAGTTTTTACTGTCATTTTTTGTTTTTAATATGTTAAGTACACGAGATAGGTTTTTTTTTTTTTAAAAAAAAAAGAAAATTTAATTGCAAGAACAAGAAAGATGTACCAAAAAACAATTTGAAGGTTCCTGGCTTCCTGCTTTCCGTTGAAGGTCAGCATTTATACCAAACTTCGACTTTGTATAGAAAAGTCTACAAGGTTTATGTCCCTTTTTTTTTTCTATTTTTTGGCCCCTGTTACAATTTATCAATAAAACAACTATAATATAGTTTCACTTAGTTCCCTTCGTTTATGTTCAGAAAATTGTGAGAGTCAAAGAGCCAAAACGGGTATATATTTTCGGTAGTAGAGAACGAAGAATGTGTAGCGTGAAAGCGGGTAAATTGGAATCAATCAAGAATCTGAAATGGTAAAGCGTCCGCGTTCAGAGCTGGAACCTATTCATCAAGAAACCCTTTTTAAGATTTAATTGTGGAAATGAAAGATTTCTATCCAAATAGATATAAAACCTCTCTCTCCATTCTCCCAATTTTGCCACTTTTCTCTTCTCCTTATTTGACAGCAAAACACGCGCATTAAAACCTCTCTTCCTTGTTGGCACCGTCGCCATTAAAGCTTTCTCAATTATCATCAAAAACCTGAACTGTCTTTGTCCCATTTTCCCATCTGATCTCATCCTATATATCCTCCATTATCGGCATTACGAATTTGCCGCACAAACCCAATTCTCAGTTCTTTATCCCATCATTCATTGAAGAAAGAAACAGAGAAACGGTGATGGGTTTTGGGAGAGAAAAGAAATCATCATCAGCGCTTGATGAATTGATAGAGAAAGCGGGAGGTTGTGCAGTGGTGGATGGCGGTTTAGGAACTCAACTGGAGATGCATGGTGCCAGTTTCAATGACCCTCTTTGGAGTGCTCTTTGCCTCATCAAACAACCTGACCTTATTAAAACGGTATCATGTGCTCTGCCCTTCCTTCCCCTGCCCTGCCTTACAGATGTTCTAGTTTTTGCTTAACTGAAATTGATCCACTGGAGATAAATTTTTTAAGGCTAATTTGGGTGTTATTTTGTTGTTGTTGTTGTTGAGTGCAGGTGCATTTAGAGTATTTGGAAGCTGGTGCGGATATATTGGTCACTTCATCTTATCAGGTTCTTACTTTTTGTCCTGCAGTTTGAGAGAGATGGTGTTCAATCTGATAAGATTTGTTGATACTAATGTATAATGCTGTTACATGGAGTGATTTTTTTTTTTTTTTTTTAACTTTTATATCAATCCAGGCTACCATTCCAGGATTTTTGGAAAGAGGTCTTTCGATTGAAGAAGCAGAAAATCTGTTAAGGAGAAGTGTCAAATTGGCTGTTGAAGCCAGGGATGAGTTTTGGAATGACATTCAGAGGAACCCTCTGCATAACCGAAACAGGGCTTTAGTGGCAGCATCCATTGGAAGCTATGGTGCATATCTTGCTGATGGTTCAGAGTACAGGTACATAAATTAACATTTCTTCAGTTTGTGAATCTAACAACCCTCCAAAAGATGTTATTGACAGTATGTGATTGTGGCTTAACATTTGCAGTGGGAACTATGGACCCAAAATCAATTTGGAGAAACTGAAGGATTTCCATAGAAGAAGATTGCAAGTTCTAGTGGAAGCAGGAGCTGATTTGCTCGCTTTTGAGACAATACCAAACAAATTAGAAGCTCAGGTGCATACATAATCAACAAGTGAATATGTCTTTTCATCTGTGCCATATTCACTTTGCAAATTCATTGTCAGTTTTATTATTCTATAGACACTTGACACATTGTGACAGATAAGTCAACTACATGATCACATGGGAAAATTCTAATTCTAGCTCTTATCTTGAAAGCAATGACAAGTCATGTTTCATGTTTTGGATAACGTAAATTAGACAACTAAAATAATCTGTAAATTTTGTTGAACTAAATTGTATTACTTCGTGCTCACTATTTGGATGTCATCCAAAGTTCGTTGACATGTGGGATTCTTCATAATTTATTACAGGCCTGTGCTGAACTTCTGGATGAAGAGAATGTGCAGATTCCATCATGGATATGTTTTAGTTCCTTAGATGGCAAGAATGCCCCATCAGGAGAGAGCTTCAAAGAATGTCTGGATGTGTTAAACAAAAGTAAAAGGGTTGCAGCAGTGGGTATTAATTGTGCACCACCCCATTTTGTTCTTGATCTCATTAAGAACTTCAAAGAGGTAATAACCTTTTTACTAACTTGTGGAAAGTAACAACTGCAAATGTAAAATGAACAAAGTATCCTTATGCATTATTCAATTTTTTGCAGTTAACTGTCAAAGCAATAGTTGTCTATCCTAACAGTGGTAGATTATGGGATGGTATAGCTAAAAGATGGCTGCAGGTGAGTGATTGAAATTTTATGTATTTTTCTTGATTTGGGATTCATTTTTTTTAAATGTAAAAAGTCTCTGGAGGGAATTTGCCTCACTTTTTTTCTCATTATCTTATCTTTCTTTGAAAATTGACAGCCATCAAAATGTTTTGATGATGAAAAATTTGAGTTATCTGCAACAAGATGGCGCGATGCAGGAGCAAAACTCATTGGTGGTTGTTGTCAAACAACACCAGACACCATTCGAGCGATTTCGAAAGTTTTGAAACTAAAGTTTTGAAAGACACCTCAAAAGTTGGAGTAAAAAACACATTCTTGAATCTTTTTGTTGGGGGAGGATAGGGCATTCCCCTCATATTAGCAGTGATTTTTTATATTATTATTATTATCATCATTTTGGTGCAGTATTTTACCATCATTATATTTTTACATTATTCATTTATTAGTTCAGTTGAAATGGAGCTGAGAAAAAGAGAGACAGGGAGCTTTAGGTTAACTTTAGGAACTTTTGTACACATCAAGGTCCTCTGAAAAAAAATTGGCAGCATAACACCATCAATGAAAGGATTTTATTACTATCATTTTTCTCTCATTCAATCTACGCGCTTGTCCATACTATATCAAAAGAATTACAGGATGCAACACTGAAATATTTTTATAACAAAGGATCTTTTGAGAAAGTGAAAGGCATAAAGAAACAAAAATGAAAATATTTTTGTATTAACCATGAGTGACAACCAGCAGACTATACAGAGAAAATATTCTGATAATACGTGAAGGATGACTAGCCTCGAAACAAAGTTCTCCAGATCCTCTTATTTTAAGAAAAAAAGTGGAGTACCAGCCTTCAAAAACAACTATACAGACATCAGCAATGTTAACAGAAAACAAGAAAGATTCCTTCAACCAGATGATCACCTTCATGAAGAAGTTCCTTTGCCGATGCTATGCACACATGATCAGCGCCTTGGAGGGCCTCTCTTGTCATAGGATCCCCAAGGTCCATTAGCATAGGGATCGCCAAAAGAACCCCCTCGATATCTCATTTCAGGGCCTTCGTTCAGCATTTCGTAACCTATAAAACCTAATAGAAACGAGAACAACCGATAGTACATCATGGTGTATTCTTTGCAATATAGGGACTATGTACCTACATTATGAAATATAAGCCATCGCAAGAACTTCATGTGCACAAGCAAGTACGAAGGAAATTAAAGGGGAGTTGGGGAAAGACAGAAAGGAAAAAGGCTGCAAATATAGATACCATAAACACGTGCTTGCTCTGCTCTCAGCTTTTCTATTTCACGAGCCATAGAAACAAGGTCTGTCTCCATAGCTTGGTTTTGCTCCGCCAGTTCCTCATTAGCCTTTTTATCAAATTCATAAACCCTCCTGATTATGAACCAAGCAAGCAATATATAAAGCACTTACAAACAGGATAGCCGGAATCCACATGCTATGAACAGGAACAACAAAATTCAAATATTTTTTATTATCTCATAATCATATAGGTGGTCAGTAAATTAATGAGCCAGTCGCAGCCTAGTTCAAAAAGAAGTTGAACCCAAAGATAAAATAAAGTTCAAACCTTGCTTCCGTCAGCTCTTTGTGCATGCCCTCAATATCAGCCTTCATGGAAGCTACTTGTTGATTATCAGCTTTGCATCTGTTGACATCCTTATTGAGTGTTTGAATCTTGGTAGATAGTTCCTGTCTTAGAGTATTTAATTTTTGTGATTCAGCTCTTAATTGGACTACTTCAGCCCTCAATGGCTCGGCAGATTGAAGCTCAGCTTCAAGCTTAAATCCCCTTTCCACCAACTCCCTTGTTTGTGCTTCTTTATCAGCACGTATCGCAGGAAGGATCTGACTTAACCTGTGGATTTCATCTTTCACAGCTGTCAATTCACTTTGAAGAAACACATTCCCATCCACCAAATGCCTATTTTCACCCATAATTTTCTGTATCTCTCTGTGCTGGATTTCAAGCTCCTCTTCCAGAACTGCAGGATGAGGAGGTAGGTGTCTAGACGCTCGGTGTACTATAGGTTGTGGGTCATCCCGGAAACTCTGTCTATCATCGATCCCACGAGACATACGATGTCTCCCTGCCATAACTATGTCCTGCATATACAACTCAACCATGAACAAGAGAGCAAACATTTGATTATTCCCCCTAATAACAGTTAGTGGACTACCCATTTAAGTGGATGAATTTTCTTAAAGAGACAATAACCATACATGCCTTATAACTTGATGGTAGCAGGGCGAAATTCTTTAGAAATCTTAAGATGATGCTTCACTGACAACCTTAAATTCGAAAGAAAACCAACCTAGAACTTTTTGCATGAAGTAAAGCACCAAGGGATTCTTTTTCTGGGTGAGAATGTTTTCATAACATACATTCAGTTTATCTAAGGAGGCATCTACATCTTTCGCAACAAGGAAACTATATCTATATTCAGCCCCTCCAAATTAACTTTTCTCCTCACATTTTTTACCATGCTAGTTGACCATAATTCACACTCAATCCAAAATCGACCGCAAGCAATCATATTGCAGCAAAACATCACTTCGCTTATCTTTCGTCTGATTGTACAGGTTTACAAGAATTTCTTTAATCACTACAGCCAATGAATAAAATAAACAAACGAACCCAAGATACGTAATCATCTAGTGTTGAACTTTTTCGTGAGATTACAATTATTAGATTAAATTATCCATCATAATCTAAAAATTCCTAAGTTTTGACAAGAGCCCAACAAAAATATACTTATAAGCTTCGGAAAAACTGGACGAATTCGAGAAAACAATGCAGAAACAACAATATATACAACATCAGAAAAGAGAAGAATAACTATGTAAACCACAAAATTAATAACATGAGAGAGTACGGAATGAGGCAAATTGAATTGGCTATTATAAATGACGTGAAGTAAGTACCTTCGAAGAGGTGATCTTGGCGAGAAGTATCGATTCCAATTACTCTCTGAACTCTTTAATTAACAAACATAAATTTCTTTTGCAGTTGCTGTTTCCGGTGAATGGTTGAACAAAACCCCCTGGGAATTGAAAGTTTCGGACTATTTACGAAGGCACCCTCACAACTTATTTAAATTTGCACAATTTATACTTTCTTTGGGTCCCTAGTGTTTGTGTTTGTGCCACTATCAACTTGAACAATCCCATACTCCCGAAGTGTGGGGAAATGTTCTCTTTGTGTCGTTATTTATTCTTGGCAATTTCTTGAAATCTAATGTTTCCGATTAGTTAAGCGCCAATGCCAAACCCAACAAGTAGCCGAAAAAAAGTTGTGCTTGTTTGGACGTCATCTTACATTTCATTTTGCCACTTAAAAATGGAACGTGTTTCAAGTTGAAAACTAAATAAAAATATTGTTTGGATGATATTTTGAGCAAAAAGTTATTTGGATGTTAGTTTTGAAAAAAACATTTTGAACTATATTTTGAAAATATCAAGGACGAGTCATCACTAAACAATTAAATACTGTCAATTATAGTCACTGCAAAAAAGAACTTTTCCAAAAACAATCACTCAACAACGGAATCCTGTCAAATTTGTCACTGAACTATTTGTAGTTCTAAAATGGTCATTACACTAACAAAAAATGTTTCAAGTTGGAATTTAAAATGTAAATCAGAAAGTTGGTTGGATGATGTTTTCTTTTACATTTTAAGAGGTAAAATGAGTTAAAATGTAAAATGAATGGGCGTCTAAACAACCATCGCGCCCTTCTTCAAAAAATTTTGGACGTAATATTTAAAATATCCACACTAACATAATATGATACTTTTGTATATTTCAACAAATACAGTAGAATGTTGGTAAATTAATAACTTCTAGCAATTAATAGTTTTCTCCGGTCTCAACTTGGGACCAGTACAAGAGGAGAAGAAAATCGATAAAATGATAAAATAATACTATTTTAAAAAATCTCTTTTATATCTAAAGGTCCTAATAATAACATAAATTAATAAATACCCTAAAAGCAAAGAAATAATAATAATAACTATAAATAGTTAGTTAAATATGACCTATTGATACATTTTTTTGGTCTCTGGAAATGATATGAAGTATCTATGGATTTTTTGTATTCAGAAGTGTTTAAATACTTGACTGATTGGATGTAAAGACAAGTGCAATTTATATAATTTAGAGGCGACTTTTTTTTCCTCATAAACATTCTCTAAATTAATAATTTTTAATTTATCGATTATTTAATAATTCTCTAAATTAAATTTTGGCGGTCCTAATACTATAAATTTATAAAAGTTCTAATGTATTAAGATAGGCAGAGAAAAAATACTGGTGCATAACTTATAATAAGTTCAAAAAAAAAATCTTGTCGAAAAACAAAACCATAAATAGTGAATAATTTTGTAAAATATGCTTAAATTAAAAAGTAAAAGTAAATTGAACAGAGAGTAAGACTAGATATTATCGAGGAATTCAAATTTTTTAGACTCTTAAAACAATTCAGTAAAAATGTGGGGTAGGGGAAGAAGAGGAATTCAAATGTTAATAGACTCTTAACACAATTCGGTAAAAATGTGGGGGTAGGGGAAGAAATGACAAAATATGTAGGTCCAATTTTATGGCCCGACCCGTTATCCTCACAGGGCAGAGAGCGGGAAGTTCTCGGAGCCCTGTGAAACCAAACTCACGCGATCCCCTCCACTCTAAGAGCCCAGCAGTTACCCTAGGTCTTCACCAGGATAAGAGGGCCCAACTCCATGTTTGAAGGGCGGGCCAAGACATTAATCACACAGTTCCATACAACTTATTACCCCCAACTCGGGTTACAAGCCCACGCTACCGAGCTCGGTTTTAATGTATAAGCTCAATTTGGAGACTTATGTGCAAGGTCCGTTCCAGTTGAAATCGCGATGTGGGACTCAATTTAACAAACGATTTTCACTTTTCACAATAAAACGAAAGCTGCTTCTGGGGAGAAAAACCATTTGTTTCAGTTTCCCTTATCATCAAACTTTGACGAATGACTCTGAAAATAACCATTCTGGAATCTGGAACTACATTACCCCATTTACAGAAGACTACCCAAGATCGATTATTTTTAGGCTGAAAATCGATACAATCCATGACGTTTAACCAACAGTGACATTTCTGAAATTTGGTACCACTAATGTTCCTTTTTGTAGATTCATTTTTTTTTTTTTTCACTTTATCTTGAAAATGAAGGGCAAAATGCAAAAAAACCCTTTTGCCATAAAAATTTCCTTGCATGTAATTTGTTGTCCTTTCTTTATTAGACATCATATCAAGTCTCTAATGGTGTATCACCATGCAGTAAATTGTTAATAATAATTACAAATCATAATTCAATTCTAACCGATTCTGATATCGTGTAATGTAACATTTAGTCCTGATGCCATATTGAAGTTTCTAATGTACAATTTAGTTATACTTTGGCTGAATTACACAAATTGACATCATTGACCACTGCCCAGATTAAAGGAGAAGGTAAAGTTTCGTTCATGTTTGAAATTCCAAGAGGCAGAGTTTTAAAATAAAAAAAAAATGAAAAATTGAAGAAGATGGATGGGGGAATTGGCCTTTAGGAATGAGCATAAGACCACAAAGACAACCCTTTGCTAACCCATTACTTGTCCATCAAATCGGTGTTGGCATCGTCTATGATTTTGCATAGATCTTTTCAGTGACCTTTTTGTTCTGGCTTCCCCTCTTCTACAGTACTGTTTTCTAGGAGCCTCCCCTTTTGGACCACTATCCATTTCCTAAATATCTTTTTTATCCAATTTTTTCCCTTCCTTTTTATCCTTTTTTTTAAACCCAACATGATTTTCCCTCAAAATCAGTTATATTTTTTGTTTTCTTTCGAACAAACGTGAATGAAGAAATAAAATGTGCAGTAAAAAACAAATCATATCTTATACACATTACATGTGTTATATTTGCAGTTTCTTTGTGAGTACAGTAAAATTTCTATAAATTAATACTATCATGACCATTATATCATATACACATTATATGTGTTGTATATTTGTAGTGTCTGAGTACTGTAAAACATCAATAAAGTAATACTATTAGGACCCAAAAACTTATTAATTTATCGATAAATTAATAATTATTAATTTATTTATAAAGTAACAATTAGTTAATAAGATCTTCGGAGACATCGTAATTACTGACACTAAAACATTGACTTCATATGAAAATTATGATGACTCAGTTTTTTATAAACCAATTGTACGAAATGAAGCACTTAATGGGTCAATAACTTTTCGAAATTTTTTGTTGCAATATGAAAACCTAGACCTTTTGAAAGCAATAGAGAAAATCAAAGATGAAATCTCGTTAAAGGTAAATTTCAAGAAAAAACACACTACATTCGTACATATATTTGAAGTCATTGTTCATTTATATTATTGATGGTGCCTATATTTATATAGGAATTTTATGTAAAATTATTATTTTATTATTTTATTGATTTTTTTTGTTTTTTATGCTGGTTTTGAGTCAGGAACAGAGAAATTATTAATTTATAGATTTATTAATTTATCGATTATTAATTTATAAATATTATACTGTATAATGGTCTTTCTCCGTATGTAGTTCGAGAAGAGAAACCATTTATTTAGGACCGATAAAGCACCAACGAGAGTTAAAATTGACAATGTAACTCCTTCATTGTCATCTATATACCCATATATCTCGAAATTATTGTTCAATTTCAGTTTTATTTTTAGTGAAAATTCAAACTGAACAATAATTTTGGGATGGAAAAGTATTTGGCAAGTGAAATTGAATTCTTCATTCGTTACCTCATATTCTGGAAAGAGTTTACACATATTGTAGTGAGTAAATTTTACCTTCTTGAATGTACAAACAACACGCTTTGGAAGGAAGATTGATACAAATGTGTCATTTTCAGTACCATGACTGTAACATACACTTGTCACAGAGAATTTTAGCGAATATCCATTCCCGAGAGAGCAAGATTTTAAACCGGCTAGCTGCAGCCGCTCTGGCAGTGATGGCTGGCCGGTTAGATCTGTGTTTGTACATAACTTTTATGGATTGGGTTACCACCTCAGAGTTATCCTGTGATATTTTCTTTCTTTTTCCAATCATTCCCGTTTTCCAGGTTGTCCCACCGTAACTCGAGACTTTTTACACCGTTTTGTTTATCCGATTAAGGCCATCATGGCATCATATATACACATGCATACGTAATACTACATTCTTTTACTTTCAAGTGCTTAATCTATAATGATCTTGTCAATGAACAAAAAAAAAAAGGTTGAACATCCTCAGTTAGTGGAATGGAATTTGTGACCATACATTTTCTTTTTAGGTGAAAGTGAAATGCCATCGATTCAAATTTCATTCAGCATTTTGAGAACACAAATTCATGATAGTATTTATCTAAGTGCGCTGGGGTTATGGACGGAAGTCTTGACACGTTTGTATTACTATTAGATTGGGGGTCCTATCTAATCTAATCTAATACAATACGGATGATAAGCTTAGTTTGAAAAAACAGGAATCTGAGATGAATAAACCAGCATCAAGATTCTCTCCTTTTGAATTGGCCAATTGAGATGATTGTCACGCTGATTAGACAAATTTCTGATTTTTTGAAATTTCAAGGAAAACGAGAAGTTTGACGTTTGAACCATATGCTAACTTGATAAGAGGTAAAAATGGTAGTACATTTCAGGCGCAGAGACTAATACGTGATTTTTAGCACGACAAAAAAATAGAAAGTCAATTTTTGATCAATTAAGGAAGCAAAACGCTTATTCCATCCGTCCCGAAATTTATTAATTTGTTTAACATTTTACTCTTAGTACAATTTGAACTAAAAATGAAAAATTCAATTTGGATAATAATTTTAGGACGGTGGGAATTTTACATATACTCTCGGCTACTACAAAATGGAGGATATATGCGATATATACTTGACAAAAACATCATCTGTAAAATTAGCATCTCTGGAGATATATGTTTAAACTCACATTATTTAATTCTATTTAACAGATTTCTTAATCCCATGACAGGTCTCATATGACCCACAACTATCCACTGTAACCGCGCGGTAACAAAACTAGGATTGTCTAACTTCTATCATTACCTTAAACTCCACTAATAAGGAAGTTACAGTTTCATCGCATCAGCGTAAATGTCCTTTTAAACTTAGGTTTCAACTGTGAAATGGACAAATGACGTCTTTTTCAGTACTCTTTGCTCGTTATAACGTACATGTTTCAGTCATTCTTCTTGTACAAATTTCCAGTAGTAAAGCGAAAACATGGTAACTGGAGTGGGCTTTCTGATGCTTGCTCAGTAGGGACTTGAAAGAGAAAAGCGAATATTAATTAAGAAAAAGGGGACCCCAAAAGGCAAAAAAGTGTGATGAACTTTTGGGAGAGGGTTTTTTTTGGAGCAAGGGGCATAATTGAAAGCAGACAATCCAACAAAAGTGTCTAACTCAAATATTACGACCAAAAATTGCGTACAAATTGACACACCCCAAGATCGAGACTGTGAAAGGAAAAGAAAGAAAAAATGGAAAAAACAATACACACACTCACACAGTAAGGATTGGATCAATGACTCCATCATAAATTTTGATATTACTCTATCATCTTCTCTCTGTGCTTATACTACTACTGGTCCCCCACTAGAAATCCAACAGATTAGGAATCCAGCCAATCAAAAAACAGGAAATTGGATTATTTTCTCCAAACAGCCAATGGAAATCCAGATAAGGCCCTCAAGGTGGGATCCACAACCGGAAAAGTGCATCCAAAAAAATACGACCTTCGACTCCTTGAAGAAACTGCAAAAAAGTGCACCCCCAGTGGGTCATCATAACTCATAAAACCCTTTCCCCATTTCAATAATTGAATTCAACCTCTTCTTCTTTCTTCTTCCCTTTGTTCTTAGCTCATAAAACCAAAAACCAAAAAGAAATTTAAAAAAACGCCCACTCAAAAGTCTCCCATACCCATTTTTCAGAGTCTCCATTAATTTCGGTTGGAGTTTTGTACAATTCAACTTGAATTCCAAACTCTCTGTATATATAAAGAACAGGACTTTTTAATCTTTTTGGTTTTGTGTAATGGTTTCATTGCAAAGAAAATTAACAAACGTGATGAGAGGTAAAAATGCAAGAGCATGTGACAATTGTATAAGCAAAAGGGCTCGTTGGTATTGCCCTGCTGATGATGCTTTCCTCTGTCAACTCTGTGATGGCTCTGTTCATTCTGCTAATCCTCTGGCTCGCAGGCACGAAAGGGTTCGTCTCAAGACTTCATCTTTAAAGCCAAATTCCAAAGAATTCTCACTGGAAATCTCTGTTCCTTCCTGGCACCATGGTTTCACCAAGAAAGCACGCACTCCAAGAGGCGGAAAGAATGCAAAATCATCCAAATTCGATGAGCCAGAGAAAAATGGCATCAACCCTGTTCAGCATCTTGTCCCTGAGATTTGCTGTGATGAAATGGAGACATCTATTGAAGAAAATGAAGATGAGCAGCTTCTTTATCGGGTGCCAATATTTGATCCCTTTGTTGCTGAATTATGCACAGCAACAACTTGTAGTAATTCTCCTAATTCAAATGAAGGTGCAGCTGCAAATGAGAATTTGGCAGCAGGGGTTAATGATCAATCCACGGCTATGATGAATGATGGTAATAATTATGATGATCGTGGAAATGATTTGAACCATCATCATCAGTTGCATGGATCTCTTCCATCGGAAATGGAATTAGCTGAGTTTGCTGCTGATGTTGAGAGCTTGTTAGGTAAAGGGCTTGATGATGAATCTTTTGATATTGAAGGGTTGGGATTTTCTGATTGTAAACTTGAGAATGATTGTTTGGGGGAAAATGAGAAAGTTGTGTTTTTAAAGTTGGAAGATGAAGGAGGAGAACAAAGGGAAGAAGTAGTTGACTGCAGCCATGACCAAATTGATATGATGATGGGTAGAGATCAACCTTTTGAGCTGAGTTTTGATTATGATTCTCCGATGACTTGCGAGGAGGATAGCAAGGGGGATGTTGTTGTCGGCCGGACGGCGGCGGCCGGGACGGTGGTGAAGGAGGATGATCATCATCAGATGATCATGGGTGAAGATTGCATTGATATTGAAATAGGGGATATTGATCATCAGGGTGAGATGATGAATAATAATGCTAATAATGGTGGGAAGATATTGTTGAGGCTTGATTATGATGGAGTTATATCAGCTTGGAATGACCAAAAGTCTCCTTGGACCGCTGGTGAACGCCCTGAATTGGATTCTCTCGACTGCTGGCCTGATTGCATGGTATGTTTCTGTTCATCTTATTACTGCATATGTTATTTCTTTCGTCCCAAAATAATGGTTCTGTTAGTAATTAATTATTTTCAACAAATATGTTTTTAGATGTATTTTTTAAATAATTGTTACGTATACATTTGCAAATCCATGAGTAATTTCCATTAATTATTACGTGACAATCATTTAGTCAATTATTACAATTTGGCCACTCCTGTGCTCGTAAAGAATTAGTCACTATTGACCGCAACATCTTTATGGTCAACTAATGCATATGTGAAATGTCGTCATTCTGTCAATTTTAGTTTATTTTCTAAGAATCAATTTCATCTATGTTGAAATTACTGTGTCAACGAAGAAAAGTTTGAAGCTCAAGTTCTGAAATTAACTCCGTAGATTATCCATGTGTGTGGTAAGTAGTACGGATAGTTAGTACAACATACAAGATTCTTATCATGAGTTGGAAGTATTACTTGTGGATAGTTTTCGTGACAAACGAAACATGAACTGAAATGGTGAAATGTTGTGTTGTTTGCAGGGACGTTGCGGGACAATTCACTACCCGTACGGGGAAGTGGGAATGTACGGAAACCCGGCAATGATGGACGGAGGAAGAGAAGCCAGAGTTTCGAGGTACAGAGAGAAGCGGCGAACCAGATTGTTTGCCAAGAAAATAAGGTACGAGGTCCGCAAATTGAATGCTGAAAAGCGTCCCAGAATGAAAGGCCGGTTCGTCAAGCGCTCTAATTTCTCCCCAACTACTGCATTCCCCGTACTCACCAAATGATTGTTTTGATTGATTGGCGATTGCCTCTCCAAAACAAAACAAAACAAAAAAATCTGCCGACTCTACAACTATTTTCTGCCAATTAAATCATGTGTTTTTTTGTTAAATATTTTTTAACTCCCACACATGATGATTTATTGGTAGATGATTTACAATGTTTTTTTTTTTACATTTTTATTTTTTGCACAAATTTTGATGCTGAGAAGGAAGTGAAATTAGTTCCTGTCCTTGACTAAGGAGCGAACTTTCCTTTTTTTGCCCTCAAAATAGTTACAGTTACTGGCTTACTGTCAGGTTAGTTGGTTACTGTTTGTGTAATAGTAGTTTATTTCAGATCAATGTAAGATATCCATTTTCTGTTATCCAGTGTAGCTGCTTCAACAATTTTGTTTAATTAGAAGTTATAACTTCATCATGGAGCTTTCCATTTTTGGCCTATAAAATTATCTCATTTCTTAAAATATGAGTCATAATGTTTTTTATATTTTCATCTAAAATGATATTGTTATTACTCCCTCCGTCCCATAATTATTGTCCACTTTGCCCAAAAAATTTTGTCCCAAAGTTATTGTTCAATTTGACTTTTTACGGATCAAGTTACACATTTGTCCTTAGTAAAAAACATTATTCATAAAATCTTAGTGGTTAAACAATTACTTATGTAGGGGTATATTCGGTTGTTTAAGATAAAATATAGTTAAGTTTGACAAAAAATAAAATTTTTTATTTTAATAAAATTGGACAATAATTATGGGTATATTTAAAACGCAGCTGTAATGTAGACTCCCAGAAAATTGAAAGTTTATCTAGGGTCCCATGTCTGCTCTAGCTACAGCCGCTATCTTCTCGACTTGTAAGGTTGAGAAGTACGATCGCTCTGCAACATCTCCCGGAAGCCATGTCACATCAGAGACCTCCGACCCAAGTTACTGTTGATTTCTGCTCTTTTTACCTTCCAACTTGCTGGTTTATAAATAATTTTTACTACTTTGTCCACACTCTCCTATGTTTATGTACCTTGCATTTGTGTGTTTACTGGAGCCTATCACATTTTTTTTGTTAAGTGCGATATTCATTTCTCATAAAAAGAAAACATGATACTTACAAAGAGTTATTACAATCGACCTTAAAAACCTCATCTAGCCACAGAAGAATATTACTATTCTAAAATTATGTACATTTGCTAGACAAAACTAACTTAGCTAAATTGTGGCAACTAGAGTTCCAAAGTTTTCTGATAAACAGGAACTTACAAATAACAAAAAATTTCTTAAGCAGAAAGATGTCAGTCAACTATGGTTGCTACTTCTGAAACAGGGTTAGAGCGTTCTTGTAACTAAGTAAACATAGTTTTCATATCTAATTACACTTCTATCTTATTTATTCTTCTTGCCAGAGCTTTTTGGAGTGTTGTTCTTATTGTTTCAAGTTCATTTGCACACTCAGACATTTGCTTTTGCATAAAAGAGGATGCTGCCACAATGAGATCCCCTTCCTCAGTACGTATGGTAAAAGCTCTACAACTCCTGCCACAATGAGATTATCGCATCGAATGGAACGATTTTGTTGATCAGTATAACAGGAATCACTCTAACTTCAAATAACATTTTGCCTTTGTTCATAGCAATTATGAAAAAGATATAACTACACTTGTAGACTTTCACTACGGCTTTATCGAACTAAGAAGAGGCACACGCATAAAATTAGTAAACGAACTGGTCAGAGCGATCATGTTCTTCCTGCTTTAAAACGAGCTCCAAATGTCTTTCACTCATGAGCCATTTTGGATAAGTAAAGCACTTATTCTAGATAGCAATTATTTATGTTTTTCGCTGAAATTATATAAGAATTAGACAAACAATTCCAATACCACTTCGTGTACATTCTTTGAACACCCAGCCTTAATGAGGATGGATAGTCCATTACACTCAGACACAACACAACATTTTGATTAACTCAATTCCTTACATACATTCAAGTATTGGAAACATTGAAAATACTCCTCCATAAAAAGAGAAAGTTATATTTGTAGTACAAAACATAATTTTAAGGGCAAGCTACACATTCAATTCCCTACAAATTAAATTTAAGGCATGTTTGATAAAACCACATAATGTTTAAAATTATTGAATTAAACATTTTTTTTTATTTTTTTTAGTATATTTGATAACAAAAAATGAATCTCTTAATGAATTAAGTGTGGTTGAAACTGCAGCATAAAATATAAGTAATAAAATTTAGTTTATTATTTATTTATTAATTACTTAATGAATTCAGTATTTTTAATTCAACATGAAGCATTCAGAAATAAGAACTCATTTTTATGGAACAGGAGAATAGTTCTAGGCTAGTCGCTTTTGGATGATGCTATTTGGGCAAAACATCTTGATATGGGCCTTGAACCCTCGGCACAAGCTTTTGGATTATAGGATATAAAACTCCCTCAAGTGAAACGGGCCTTGGATGATGCTACGCATCCCAAATTGCCTAAATCCAGTGCAAAAAGGCCTTTCCATTTGGAGCCATTTCTGCGTGTGCTGTTTTTTTTCACAAAAGCATAATAATTTGAAACTATAATCTTTGGGAAAAAGAAATAAATAAGCTGGAGTATACATTAAAATCGGTTTAATTCTGGAGAAAGCAAGATGTATGTAAATTGTAAAGAGCACTTGTTGTTAGTTTCACATTCTTAAGTTGATTCAATCTTGTGATACTCGTTAAAATTAAGCTGGTTCTATACTTTTTCTTTTCTTTTTTTTTTTTGCATTATTTCTATTTTTTCCTTTATTTCATTATTAATTTTCGTGTTCATCTCCATGATAATACGGTGAAATGATATAATCTTTGATCCGGTTGATAAAATTGGCAAATCACATAAGAAAGTAATTAATCGTTCAAGACGTGCTTCCAAGTGTAGGGAACTGTTCATATGAGAGACTTTGCCAAAGATCAAGTCATCTGAAGAAGAATGTTTCCATTATAAAAAAAAAAAAAAAAAAAAAGGGACAACGCCCATTGAAAATGAAACAGCCCAAACAGTCGCTTGAAAAAACAATTAAAGTAGTGGGAAGTGCAATTATGCGGAAAAACCTCACAGTTTGCACAAAACCAAATTGATTTTAACTTGCAAACATCTTGTACTTTTTCTTTTTGTCAAGGTATTTCATCATCATCATCATTAATTAATTTTATATGGTAACCAAATTTGAGTCAAATGAATATTCTAGGGTCAAATATATATTAAAAAGAAGATGCAGCTTCCTGATTCTCAAACAACAATTATTAATTAAGCTAACTAGTTACTTGTTACATTGTCTCATTGCATGTTCAATCCAAAAAATCAAACTTCATGGCTGACGGATGTTATAATATAGTTTATACCGGCTAAATGTACAACAGCATAACAGACAGATTATAACATTTGAATCGTATGAATTTCATACTTATAATCCACCATGGGAAATATGTATGGTTATTAATTGTAAAGAAAGGGTTGTACTAATTTATAGCTAGGGTTTTTATATTGGTTTGTCAGGTAGATTCTGGTCAACAATTTGTTTTTTTTTTTTTTTTTTTTGTTTTGATGAATACTAATAATTGTTAAATCTCTTTATTGTTAAGGATAAACTAAACTCCCCAATATTTAGTAGGAGATATAAACAATTGTATCTAATAAACAATTAAAAAAAAGGAATAATTATAAAGGTTATAACACAAGGAAGTCATACACGGAACTTGTAACTAGTAGACTAGTTGAGGGCTGAAAATGCATTAACAACATGAGCAAAATTTGAGAAAATAACAAGAAACAGACATGTCGGCAAAGCATTGAAAATATATGTCGGAAATTCAATAATATGCGGCGAAACTTCTGAGTTTGCACGCATCATTGATCCAAGTTGAGCTTATAATTTACAAATTGAAACTGTAGTTTGTCAAGTCATATCCTCATCAATGATGCAAGAATTAATCAAATTGAACTCAAATTAATGAATATTATAAGGTCAATCATACCAAATCAGACACAACTTTCGAATTTCTTACAGTACTAACCAATCTACATGGTGGTCTAGACTACGTTTCAATCCACCTATTATCAAAGTACAGAAAACGACTGGAAATGCTAATTGGGGATGCATTTCTTATGCGGCTAATCATCGACGTTTGCATCCCTTATAATAACTCCTTTAAATTAATCATCCAATTAAGATGATTGGAAAACACTAAATGCCACAAAGCCAAACACTTTGTTTAAGTGCAAAATGGTCGTAACTCATGAATCATAACATAATGGTCAATTGTTTGTTGCTATTGGAAAAGGGGGGACACACACACACACACTCACTCGCACATTTATTTGTTAAAAATATTGGTGAAGTCGGCTAAAGGAATGCACATGATTGGTTAGCTTAAATCTATATAACAAGTCAACCAATGAAAAGAGATTAACAAGTATGATAAGTTAAGCAACCATTTGAACTTTTTAAGATCATCCCAATAATTTAATGTAGGAGAGAAGGATGAAATTTGGGTTGAGGGAGATGAATGTATTATGCGGCGAAAAAACTACGTCTGCACATATCCTTTTCTTCCTCCTTTAATAATTGCACTTAAAATAATAAATTAGTAATTGTTTTAAATCAAGTCGTCGTTACATTCGAAGAAGGGGTCAAATGGCCCATCTGCAAAGGCAACTTGTTTGCTGCACGTAGTTTCCTCATAATAATTCAATGAGATTCCATTCCCGTAATTATCTGAAAGAGAATATCCCACTTGATACCAAGTAATTGTCATCACACGTAAGGAATGATGGAATCTTATATGAATTGCTATCAGTTTTCTTCATTTGGTTTGATTTTATTGCAAATGTACTCTTCCCATTCAATAAAGATTGAGATTCAATACGTACCCATCGATTTAAAAACTTATGCGCACTTATTTTTCCAAGAGAAATTACTTACACAAAAAGATGTATTGGTAGCAATGACGATTAAATAAAATACTCCTCATGTCCCAAAATTATTGTCCAGTTTGAGATTGTACTTTTAGTACAATTTAAACTAAAAATGAAAACTTAAACTGAACAATAATTATGGGACGGATGGAGTACTTTATTGTACTCTTAAATGAACAGTTTAGCAAGTTCAACTTTATAACAATATGTTAGAAAGGCTCCAATATAAGAAGAAAGCGCCTCGAACTTTATTTTGGCAAAGTCATTGAGGAGAAGAAACAAATCAGTATCTTATAATTTTTTGGTTATTAGTTTAATTTTATTTTTTTTTTGGATTAGCAATATAGTCATCATATAGTTAAAGTGTAATTAGCCAAAATGAACGCCAATCAAAATGATTGAAAATGGATTGGGGGAACGGTGCACTTATGCGGAAAACCACCTACGTTGGCCGCCTTAATTATTGGTTAAACAATTGATTAAGTCATT